CATCTTCATTGATAATGTCTCTGGTCCGTTTCCGCTTTGGTCTCAAGCTCTCTCTCCGGGGTAGTCTATCTTCCTCCTCTGACTCCTCTTCACCTGAAGAAAGCAGTGAATGTTCCAATGAACTTTACCAGAAAGCGCTTCCTCCAGCTACCAAATTTACTTACTTTTCTTTCCCCCTGGTATCCACTTTTATTTATTTATTTTTTCAAAATCACTTGATGGGAGCTAATAGAGATATCATAGCACCCTACAGTTCAATCACATCAAGCAGGATTGTACAACTGCAGCCTCAGCCATTGTTTTAATTACAGGTGTCACCCACCTGAGACCAGAATCCAGCACTTACACGCAACAGGATAAGATGTACCATATCATCATAGTCTCCCTTTGAAATGAACTTCCCTACCTGTTCATTTCCTTTGTGGTTCATCTCTAAAATAGATGAATGGGACTCCCTGTTCTTTTTTTTTCATAGGATTCAATCACCTATTTGAGTTTATATTGAATACTGTTAACCCATTTCTATAATAGTCTAAGTTGATCTTTTTAAAGAATAATTTTTGAGAGGGCTCTTACAGCTCTTATCACAATCCATCCATCCATCCATTGTACATATGTTGCCATCATCATTTTCTAAATATTTTCTTTATACTTGAGCTCTTGGTATCAGTTCCTCATTTTTCCCCTCTCCCAACCTCCCTCCCTCATGAATCCTTGATAAATTATAAATTATTATTTTCATATGTTACACCATCTCCCTTTACCCATGTTTCTGTTGTTCACCCTTGGTCGGAGGTGGTAGGGGGGGGCGGTTATATGTCGATCATTGTGATTGGTCCCCCTTTCTCCCCCCACCTTCCACCTACCCTCCTGGTATCACTGCTCTCATTATTCATCTTAAGGGCTTTATCTGTCCTGGATACCCTGTGCTGCGAGCTCTTATCTGTACCAGTGTACATGCTCTGGTCTAGCAGGACTTGTAAGGTAGAATTTGGGTCATGATAGTGGGGGCAGGAAGCATTAAAGAACTAGAGGAAAGTTGTATGTTTCATCAGTGCTATATTGCAGTCTTCCTGGTGACCCGTCTGTAGGGATGTCCTATCATCTACATATGGGTTTTGGGTCTCTACTCCACCCTTCCCCTCATTTATATCAATATGCTTTTGTTTCTGGGTCTTGGATGCCTGATACCTGATCCCATCAACACCTCATGATCACACAGCCCCGTGTGCTTCTTCCATGTGGGCTTAGTTGCTTCTCAGCTAGATGGCCGTTTATTTATTTTCAAGCCTTTAAAACCTCACAGGCTATATCTTTTGACAGCTGGGCACCAACAGCTTTCTTCACCAGATTTGTTTATGCACCCATTTTGTCTTTAGCAATTGTGTCAGGAAGGTGAGCATCACAGAATGCTGGATTATTAGAACAAAGTGTTCTTGTGCTGAGGGAGTATTGAGTAGAGGCCCAATGTCCATCTGCTGCCTTAATACTTAACATATAGGTATACACACAAAGATCTATCTCCTTATCTTATATACAAATATATTTACATATGTACATGCCTGTATTTAGATCTTTATAAATGTCCTTCTCCTCCTAGTTCTTTCCTGTATTTCCTTTGACTTTCTCTTGCCGCAGTATCATGCTTGCCCTTCATTCATATTTCAGTAATTCCTCTGGGCTACATTGCCCTTGATCAAGCTCCACCAGGAATCCTACACCCTTCTCGCCATCAATTTTAGATCACTTGTTTTTCTCTTGTCCCTGGGTTTGTTGACACCCCTTCCCTTTCCCCCACCTACCCCTCTCCTGTGTCTCCTCAGAATTGTCAGTCCCATTGTTTTCTCCTCTGGATTGTTTATCCCACCTATCTTATCTAGATAGACATGCAGAGACAATGATAAACACAAAAACAAAACAAAACAATAAAAGAAAACAAAAACCAAAACAACAGCAACAATGATAAAATGACAAAGGAAAAATGCCTGTAAATAGTTCCAGGTCTGCTTGACTTTTAGGAGTGTTTTCCAGTGAGTCTGATGGGGTGTTATGCCCTAGCCCCAAAGTCTATTTTTTGTATTCCCCGGAGGCTTCATTGCTTTGCTCCCCTTGCTGCTCTGTTGCACCCCCTTAGTGTTTCACCCCGATGTGGTGAATCCCTGAACTTTTAATAACCCTTATAGTCCTAGTCTTCATTTACTTGAGTAATTATATTACTTACATTTTAATGCTATGCTCATGATCTCTAAGACACTTATTGAAATCAAGGCCAAATGTAATTCTAACACATAAAGGTTGATTAATTAACCATTGTATGCTTACTACTGCTCCATCTTAGAACAAAGGAAGGAACAGGAGAGGATATAAACTAGGATTTTGGAGAAATTGATTCAGCCCTTGAGATTTCTTTAATTCAAATTATCTTTCTTGGTATTTCTAAATCTATTCTTTTTATTTTCCCTATGCATTTCTCAGCACTCTTCTACTTGAAATTGTTGATAGGGAAAGCTGAATCAGTGAACGTGTAAGCATCCAGCACCCAGGGCTGCATCGGGGTAGGTCCATGTGGCTTGTCCTTGGGGATGCCTTGCAGGAAGTGAGCCTTGTCAGCTAAAGCAGGGAACTGGCTAAGACAGCTGCAACCTGGTCTGATCATCACAAAACAAGAGACCCAAGAACTCAAAAGGTGAGGCTTATGGAGCCATTTATCCCTCTGCCCTTCAATTAACCCCACATGTGTTTATCAGCCAGGTTGGCACAATAAACTTTAACTATCTCAGAAATCATCTGGGTAAAAAACAGATCGAATTAAATCTTCTCCTCCATAGAGTTTATAACATTTACATTCCAACTTCATTTTCATGTCAGTTGTTTTTAACTTCTGTCCTTTAGAATAAACTGGTATAAAAAAATCAGAAATTACTGAGTTGATCACTATCTTCTTAAAAAGAAGGCACTTTGGTGGTGCACTGGCTAAGGAGTGTGCCCACTACCTAAAAAGTCAGCTGTTAAATCCACCAGAAAGTAAAACGTGGTGGTTTGCTTCCATAAAGATTTCCAAGCTCGATGCCAATAAACAAGATAGAACTGCCCCGTTGGGTTTCTAAGGCTGTAATTCTTTACAGGAGTAAAAGCTTCATCTTTCTCCTTTAGAGTAAGTGGGTTGAAATGCTGACTTTGCAGTTAGTAGCTCAATTTATAACCCACTGTGCCATCAGGGCTCCTTCCATAAAGATTTAGAGCCTCGCAAGTAGGAAAACCCTCAGAGGTGGTTCTACTCAATCCTAAGGGACATGATGAGTTGGAATCAACTCTAATGGTCTTAGTAGGAAAAAGCTCCAATTGTTGGTAGCATATTCTATGTTAACCATTTCTGGTTTATTGGGAACTTTCTTACAGCTATGAAATATGTAGATAACTGGATACCAAAAACAAACAGCAATTTTCTATAGACCTACAAATAAATTATGTCCTGTGAGCATAAAAACAATCAAGCAGTTACCTACATTTACAATGTCATTTCAATAGGGCTGACCTATGAGTGTTTATGGTCTTTGGGTTTTCCTTTGAACAGATTCCTCATTAATGAGTTGAATGCGTTTGGGGGTGGGTTTTGTTTTTTTGTCATACGTATGAGAGACATGGCTTTGTCTTTTATTTAGAAATTATCTTGTAGCACTATTTACCCAATATTTTTGTCAATATTTCCTTAAAAAGATCTAAGTGTTGCCTCTATTACAAAATTTGGGATAGAGGGAGAGAGGAAGGATACCTTTTCCGAGTTTTTCCAACTCTGTTCTCTCATGAACCCAAAAAAGTTTCTACATGTAAAATACTGTGTCAGATCTGTGGTATGATTTCAGCCCAATGCTGGCATTTGGAAATTCATGCAGCCTTAATGAGTTACATTAATCATTAATGGTGCAAGAGACATGGTGTGGAGAAACAATTTCACTCATAAGCAATTGAGGTTAGAAAGGCACTTGAGTGTTTCCTAGACATGTGTAACTCTTTCTGAGACTAGAAAATCTCCTCTTTCTCCTGCTGGTTTCAAACCACCCACCTTGCAGTCCAATGCCACTGTCCCACTCAGGGCTAACCCATTGAAAGCTTTCATAGTTTTCTTTGATAGCTTTACCAGGTGGACTAGAGCTCTGTCTGATGATTCAGGGGGGTTAGCGGCTGGGTGCTACCTGAAAGGCTGCTAACTAAAACACATCCATAAGCTCCCTGCCACCAGCTGCCTCGGGGAAGACTGGGTGTTTTGTTTCTATAAAGATTAGAGCCAAGAAAACCCTATGAAACAGTTGTACTTTGTCACATGGGGTTCCTATTAGTTAAAAATGGACTTGATGCACTAACCTCAATAGCTACTGTCTTTGAAACATATAAATCATTACATTTATTTCTTTATATGCTGCTAACCACAAGGTCAGCAGTTCAAAACAACCAGACATTCCACAGGAGAAAGTCAAGGCTCTCTACTCCCATAAAAAGTGCAGTCTCAGAAACCCATTAGGAAGTTCTACCCTGTCCCATAAGGTTGCTATAAGTTAGAATCAACTCAATGGCAACGGTGTGCTTTGGCTTGAGTTTTTAGAAACAAAAAGAAAGTCTTCTCAAGGATGTCACTAGATTGGTGTCACCCGGTACAGGAACTCATAGTATCAGTCCCACCATGGAACTCCTTCTATACCAATGATTGCCCCACCCCCCAAAGAATGATTGTCATGAGTTGATCCCACCTCATGACGCCCACGTAGAACAGAGCAGACCTGACCCTGTGGGTTTCAGAGGCTGTACATCTTTATGGGAACAGAAAGCCTCGTCTTTCTCCCAATGAGCAGCTGATGGGTTTGAACCAAAGACACCACCAGAACTCTTGCAGAACCCTTAATATGGCTTATTTTAATAAAAGAATAGTATGTGATCAGTATTATTTTAGCAGCCCTTCCAGACTAAGAACAGATTATGGAAGGACTAGGCTGTCCACCTCAAAGAAATTAGACTCTGAAAACCTTAGAGAAAGCATGGAAACACTGTCAGATACTAAAGATCTAATGGATGGAAGCAGAAAATTGTCAGAGACAGTG